CAAGAAATTTTGCGCTATCCAAAAATATATTTTCTAGGTCTTCAAGCAAGAAAAAGATTTCCTGCAGGAACACCCTTTAGTTCAGTTGTATCTGATCCTAGTTTCTCAGCTGGTGATTATGACTTCAAGTCTGCTCAACAACTTATAGGATTCGATGATCCACAGGCTTCCTACATTGTAACTTTTAATGATCACATTGCTTATCGCTACGAGCCCATAGGCTTACTTGGCAAGGGTAGTTTTGGTCAGGTTGTTCGAGCAATCGATCATGCAACCGGCAACCAAATTGCCTTAAAGATAATCCGAAATGAAACGAGATTTGCAAGACAGGCGGCAGAAGAAATCAAAATTTTGGAAACTTTGCGCAATCAAGACATGGATGACAGCAATAATGTCATACATCTCTTAGACCATTTTACCTTTAGAGGACATGTGTGCATGACATTTGAACTGCTCAGCATTAACCTCTATGAACTAATACATAGGAACAGATTTAAAGGATTCTCTTGCGCTCTGGTGCGAAAATTTGCATACGGAATTTTGCAGTGCTTAGAAATGCTTCGTTGGTAAGTTCATCTGCTGAATATAATTGATATCTTGCTGCAGATAACTTTATCATATTTTCATTTAAAATATGCTTGTAGCGCAGAGGTCAGATATAAAGAATAATTATTAAAATCTATAGGAAAAACGATAATATTTAGTAGCCTATACGTATACAGCAATTTTGAGGAGCTTTTTCATAACCTAACAAACATCAATCCTAAATTATAATCCTATGCCATATGCTTGTATAGTTTATCTTCTTATAGGTTCTTAAACATTACCTGATAAACATACCACGAAATGCTAATATTTTATTTCGTTTGTTATGCCATTTGTAAAAAGTATGTGTTTAATTAGACTTTAAAGTGACTAAATGCTGAAAGCAAAATACTTCACTTTAAGAAATTATTTGTCAATTACGCTCATCATTTATAAATATATACCTATTTAGCTTGTTATACCACATTTATTAGTTTTGAACGTGTATTAATATTATTATATTTTTAGCTGCGTTTTTATATAAGTAATGGAGCCGGTTGAGAGTTCATAGCTTATTAAAGCAATTGAAACATAATTCATCTTTATTTATTTATTTGGAAGTACACAATTCTATTCAGATATTCTAAAAGGTCATTATTTTAACTCAATAATATTTTTACACTACGTAGGCGAACGAAATATTTCTTACTTAAATAAAAGCATTTGCAGACCTATAAATCATCATGATTTCTATATTCGTTTGCACAAGCTGTTAAACCGTGGGCTCATTCGAATTTATCATGTAATATCAGCAATCTACCTAATACTTTTCCTACTAAGTTTGACTTTATAGATAAAAAATCTCCTGAGTTTATTTTCAAGAACCTATCTTAGGTTGATGAGATTTATATGCATATTATTAATTTACTCTATAATTGCATTGTTTAGTTATAGCTTATTTAGCTGGAAATCCTTGAGGTACTTCCATTTCATTAAAAAATACGATGGGATAATTTTCGTACAATGGTTAATTTGCTATTTCTCTTGACTTTGGCTGCAAAATCCATAATATTTTCGCTACCAAACTAGCATTATCTATTTGACTGTGCAGATACTTAATTAAAAGTCCTACACTTAGATTTCCTCTTTTATATATTTAATTTAGATTATTTTTTCTATAAATATACTTGCTTTATAAACCACTGATTCTAGAATTTCATTATTTGCTGAATAGCCTAATAGAATAAATAGCTTACATCGTGAAGTTGCTCTATGTTAGGATGATGACTAAAGGATTTAGGTGAAACAGTATAAGAA